ACCCCCACCCCCTTAATTTCGTTTTAGACTTAACATAGCATGAATGGGCAGGGCTACATGTACACTGATGTATAATACCATTGACCAGCAGGTGATCGGACGTCCTGGGTTCGTGTCCTAGTCTGGGTCCGTAATGTTTATACACCCAGGACACTGTTGTTGATCTTTCTGTTTGTTTCATCTTAATTATATTTTACACGTATTTTCTTTTTATAAATGATCTATTAAAACTATATTCATACTGAAAAAAATAATTAATTAATGCATAGTAAAAACAAATTGGCAGTGGTACGAGCAAGCTTTAAGCACTAACATCCGGGCAACAAGACTGATAAATATAAGTTGAAATATCTTGTTTTATAAGTGTTGTCAAATAAATAATGATTATATAATATTATTTGTTTTTGTACAAAAGCAAAAGGAATATCATTTTTTTTTTAAATTTATTCTATAAACTCTGATGTCTTTTAACCCACCTTACCCTTTTTGACGTTATATATATATCACATAGTCGTTATCATCTATTCGTTATCTCTGTTATTATTTTTAACCCCGTTTTTATTTTTAATTATCTACACATACAATGCGAATGCTTTTAAAAATGAGCATTTTTATCTGATTTTATCTTCGCTACTCACATGTTTGTTTCAAAAAATGAAATAAATAAATAAATAAATAAATCACCATGGCCCTAAAGGACCTCAGCCGTCGATGGGCCGTTAAACACAAACAAACAAAACAAAGTATTATTTGTTTTTGTACAAAAGCAAAAAGAATATCAATGTTTTTTTAGAATGCCCACTAGTGTGTCTAATAGTTTCGTTGTCAACATCCCGTATCTCACATTGAAAACGTGACTTTGATTTGACCACAGGAGTCGGCCCCGAAAAAAGAGGGGAAGATAAAATAGAGGTATACTGTATATTTACGTGATAGTAAATTATGCATCGAAAATAGCATATTATATATAGAATATCTCACCTCCTTTACCTCCTCCGAAGCAAATACCTGTGATTTGAACTTGACGCTTACCCTTCTGGAGTACATGGTCTTATTCATGTTCTACTTTCAAGGGTCTCCATAGTTATCTTTCATTTTTTGTCATAAGCCATAGTTTACCTCAATCAAAAGAGTTTTCGTTGTTGATTTAATTGAAACTTGTAACACAAATTATGTTGATAATGTTATTTGTAATCTGGCTAGTGATATTCTTTCGTTGTTAAAAATAATAAATATTTATGCAAATACTCTTGCGCTGAAGAAAAATGCGTAAAGCGCAAAAACAACCAAGATGACTTAGGAAGAACATAATCCGTCTTTGCGTATTGCAGAGTTATCTTCTCTTGTGAGCAGTTATGGTTGTTACGTCGTTGGTTTGTGTGAGAAAATTACGTCGTTTTCTCAAAAATTGATGACGTTACTCTCACAAACAAATGACGTAACAATCAATACCTGCTCATAAAAGAAGATAACTCTACAATACGCAAACACGGAATTTGAATGGGTCACGTAGGGACACGTACCAAAAAGGAAAAAGTATGGTCAACAGTATAGGTAAAATGTAGAGAGAGAATCTACATGGATGTCAAAAGATTCATGATTGCGACTCTCGATCGTCTACTAGTGATTTGACTACTACATTCATATGTTATTAGGGAGGCAAAACGTTACGGTGTACCTGAAAGAGTAGTAAACAATTCAAAAGTTGTCTACCCTCTTACTTACCTTGGAATCAATCAAAATGTATCAAATTTATATGTTCTACTTCACCATTTAAAACATAATTAAAATGTTAGAAGTGATATGTGCTTCTGTGTGATCAAAGGTATCCTAATCCCTTTAATGTAGTTGCAATTTCACGTCATCACATGAGTGAGTGAGAGAGAAGGGAGAGCTAGCACGCGAGTGAGCGACTCGCGAGTGAGTGAGTGAGGAGGGAGAGTGAGTCTGTGAGGAGGAGGGGGAGTGAGTGAGTGAGTGAGTTAGTGAGTGAGGTTGGCGAGTGAGTGAGTGAGTGAGGTTGGAGAGTGAGTGAGTGGGGAGAGTGAGTGAGTGAGTGAGTGGGGAGAGTGAGTGAGTGAGTGAGAGAGTGATTGAGTGAGTGAGTAAGTGAGTGATTGAGTAAGTGAGTGAGTGAGTTATTGAGTGATTGAGTAAGTGAGTGAGTGAGTGATTGAGTGATTGAGTAAGTGAGTGAGGTGAGTGA